AAATTTCCGTGTAATGGTTTCACTATTCGGTCATACTTCCAACCTTTGAAAAAATGACAAAAAAGACAAAGTCCCAGGAAAGTATTGCTTTGGGGATGTTGTATTTTCATCCCTTTCATTCCTTGCACCGGTGTTAGGAGTTTGCTCATTCTTGCCTTTTTTCACGAGTTTTGCTTTTTATTTGATTAGAAAGAGTGGAAATTTATTTTACTACTTTTATGAGTTCAACTATTTCAATGAGAAATGTAAAGAAAACACAAGAAGAAAATAAGAGAAAAAGATGTTCTCTCCAAATCTCTGTGTGTATTCCTATGTGTACTTGATTTTACTGCTTTCTAAGATTTTACTTGAAATTCTTGGGAAAATAAAGTTTTGGGAAGGGAAATATCCATTTTGAACTAAAACTTACACTGTGGGAGGGAAAATGAACAAGTTGGGAGATAAGATATGAGAGTGGTTTGGAGAAGATATAAGTTTTGTAGATTGGAAAATATATAACAGAAAAAAACCCAATAGCTTCAAAAAATAGCAAAAGTTATACGCAGCAGCGCCGCAAAAAACCCACACTTTTAGACCCCATTTTTTACAGCATGATTCATTTGTACGTCATGGCCGGCACTCATTGAACAGTTTACAAAGCCCAGTGCATGTGGGCACAGCTTCCCATTTACTCACTGCAAACAACATGGCAGTATAGCACTGCGCTGGGCCAGGGTCCAGAACAAAAGAGCCCTTATGTAACACTACACAATGGGGGCTCTATACAGAGCGGGCGGCGTGGCTGCAAAACTGGATGGTCAATGGAAGTTGCTTATGAGGGCTAGACTCGCCATGAGACAGTCATTTTATGTTCAGAAAAAAATGATATGAATTTTGAAGATTTTTGAAAAATGAAAATATGAAAAAACAGCCCTTTAGCGCATATAACAGTTAAAAAATTACCCAGCAGCAAGTGGTTAACTCAGAACCAGATCTCACACAATCGATCGAACAATTTCAAGACTCGTTACAATGTGCGAAAATTCCTTTGAACTTTGTGGTGAGGCCGGGTTCGTATCTAGTGCCTTCGGACATGGATTTGAGAATCGGAACATTTGAGGGACACAACAACAATTTACAAATCGCAACCAAAGACATGCACCCGGGGTATCAACCAGACGTTAAATTTTTTTTCCATAATCACAGAAACCCACTTCGTTTCTGACCAATTCTGGTCCATTTCAATACCCTGCTTGTTTAGTGTTATCTCTTATTGTATCTAGTTTTACAAATATGCCGGGGCTTTGTACTGGTTAGCAATACTTCTTTGTATCTGCCAACAGCTTTATAAAACAGAACTTTACCTGTTCGGTATTCAAAATTTTCATAGCAGGGTCTCGGTATGTCTTTTCTATTATAATATTTATAGAAATTGTCTATTCTAGAATTATTTATAAACATCATTCTTCCTACAGTAAAAAGATAATCGATG